TATATATATATATAAATCATATATATATCCTATATACATAAATTCAAAGCGTGCAGTAAAATATCGCGTAATGCGTAAGCCTGCCGACGAACCATCAATCTCTATTCGCAACGACAAGGAGGCGCGTCGGAATTGTATTTTGATCTTTAACTAAACCAGAAGCTATCGTCTAGGGTAATCCTATTTGGTAGGCAAGAATGAAACTCCTTAGGAATATAACAGTATTGCGAGCTTGCTTGTGTGTTATACATTCTAATATTGGCAACTAAGTTTGGTCGTTGTATTAAAACTGACCTTTTTTTGTTCGGGTCAACCATGATATGGTCGTAGTAGTAAAGTTAACAAGAAACTTTATTAAGCTAAAATGTTACCTAAGAAAGCTACCAAAATGTTACGTAAAACTATACGAATGGAAAACTATATATATATATATATATATATATAGTTTTCCATTCGTACATAATTTTACATGATCAATTTCAATTTTTTCTGCTTTTGCTTGAAAAGAGCTCGATGTAATGTGAAAATAGTATATACGTACTTTTTCATGTATAGACACTGTGACAAGCATCGTGTTCGCTACTGAAACCGCTTGCCATTGTTTTGTTCAGACGATAATGTTACCTCGAGCTCCATTTGCAAACGTGTTTTGCGAATTGAGCAATGTTGACATTGTTTTTAGGGGTCCGGACATCTTGAAGCTACAGCTTCCTACCCAATTTCATGATTAAATATAAACAATGCTAACAGATTCGCAGGTAATGGGTTTTTCTTTCCACTATTTGTCATACCGTTCGGTATTGTGTAAAACTAACATGTCAAACTGTATTTTAAAATCCTTCTACAACTCTGTCAATATTGTCTCTTATGACTCCTGTATAAAACTGTGACTAGACACACCATATTCATTAATGCTCAATATTAATGAACATTTAACGCGTCTAAAAGTACGCGACAAGTGCTGTGGAAAATATCTATTTCTCCAGTTTACTAGTGTTGCCCCAAGGCAAATCAAAAGGTCCAAACAGAAAGGTTTAATAGTTAATTTGATTATTTTACCAATACAATCTATATATGTAGACATATAAGGATATTCGTAGAAATCATATTATTTCATACATTATCTATATTTAATCAATCTGTACTTAACTGCATCGAACGCATTCACGATTTTCTCTAAACTCGTCATGACGATGTCCGTTTTCGAAAGTGTCTGCAATATCAAGCTATGCAACCAAACATTTGGGCATAATAATGAACATACGCTTGACCATTATTTATGCGAATTATATTAATTTAAAGAAAAAACTCTGTTCATACTGATATTGAGATTTGTTCCCGTTTGCTGACACCAGGAAGAACTGCCGAAAAAAAATACCAAGGTGGTTGTCAATTGAGAATACGAGACAAAAGTCAGTAGTCAGGGTTGAAAAGTTCAGAAGGACATTAATACATATACAACGAGAGCATACATTGAACTGCATGCAAAGTGGAGCATGTAGATTGAAGCAGCTGATATATTTATTCGTTAAGAACTTGAGACGAAAAGAACCGTCAAACACGATACACTACTGAGCACACAAAAACTTATATTTGAAACAGCGTTCTGCACTGAACATGCTATATACTGACTCAACTAAGTCAATTCAGTAACCTTGTTTTTAAAACGATTTTCAATGTCTGCTTATAAAGGTTTTTAAAAGGCTTTCTGAAATTATATTTTAAAAGAAATTTTCTGAAATGGAAAAGTCGAAAACATTCAACCCAGTGTCCCTTTATTAAACCGGCTTTCAAGCTGACAACTCCACATAAATGGATTAAGCACCGGGCCAGATATAATGCTAGGTTAAATGAATGAGTATGTACCAAAATGTTGTTGAATGTATTCGGCAGTCACTGTCTATTATAGCTTGTCATACACGCGACCGTGAAGAGGAATGGCTATAGCTACTACATATGGTTCGCCTTTTTGTGACTGAGTCAATTAGTAAAATACGATTTTATTATACTAAGTCTTCTTAGAGCACATTTTACTTACGCCTATATTTCAACAATAATAATCACAACTACGTTAAGGCGTTATTTTACAATCTAATATTGGTCACAATATTCTCTTCGGAAAACATTTTCTCAGATGTTACATTTTCATGATGCAAAGCGCATGGCGCCCTAAAAAGCTTTTTTCACAGGAATTTTCCCCGAGACGAGATGCGTAAACCACCGACGTCAGTCTATTGTGTTCATTATTAACAAAATCCGAATTTTCGTTTAACGCATACGAAAACCGGAACTGCGTTGGATTAACATCACTGTCTTTGAGAATTCCCATTAGAAAAGCGTTCCTGGAAATCGTGCTTCATATCCGTCATTTCACAACCACGTACACATACTTTATTACCAACGAACTTTGGTCATCTGTTACTTCTGCCATGCAATTTTATAGTATCCAATCTACTACAACGTCACGGCGAGATAGTTCAACCTTAGCCGCTTACACTGTGATATTTTTGTATTTTAATTATAGAGAGGGGGTTGCGCGAACGCATACCCCCACTATCAAAAATTGCATGCCCCATCTTTCCCAGTTTGGGAGAGTGGCAGGTCTTAGCCCTTCCGAAGTGCAATGGAAAGGCCTCCTCCTGGGGTCTCCGCCTTGTTGATCACGGATGGCCCGGCACCAGGTAAGTATGATTTCGTTCGTTAAGCAACCTCGCCCAATGCGTTTAAAAGTTTTGCTCTCGCAGACTTGCCAGCTGTCCTGTAATGTTAATTTCTTCAACGGCGAATTTTTTTATGTACACGCTATATATACGAGCTATTTCAGTCCAGAGATGTCGTGCCTTCTATAACGCAACTCCCATCACATCAATCCTATTTACAGTGTTACAACCAAAACAGGGAAATATATATACGAGCTGTCATTACGAGGGTAGCTGGTAACTTCTGTTGATCTACGATCGTTCGAATAGTATCGTACCAGAAGTACACTATTTTATATCTGTTTTTCGAAAAAAGTTGTTATCGACACGCAATGAACGTTTTGGTCACTGCGTAGCTTTGTAGCGGGCACATTTCATACTCGTATACATTCATACTTCATAGGTTTTTGCTAGTTCGCAGCTCTGTATTGGTCTAGTCGCATCGTACGTACTGTTGTGCATCATGAGCCACGATGGTTAGCAGAAACCACCGCTGTAACTTCGCGCGATTTGCTTCGAGCCATTTAGCATAATGAATTAATGTTATAGGTAAACGAATCGTTTCGCTTGAGTTTTCAGTACCATTGTAACATTAAAATAAACTTTTACATTAAGTGATCTATGTTATAGATCAGGTAAATAAAGAGATACATAGAGGATCCATATACCCATCAAACTGTGCCATTATGCCTTATAACATGAAAGACGAGGAAGAGGTGAAGCAGTTCTTGGAGAACCTTGGTATCGAGTACCGGTTTGCGTGTTTAAAAGAGAAAAAACCTGATGGCTGCCATTTGCTAGGCGACTACCTGGAGGCGATTAGAAAGGATTTCCGAAGGGCCGCCCAAGTGTATCAGGATAATTGTAATGAGCGGGGTCACGGGCACAGTTGCCATAAATTCGGTAACTATGCGTACTTCGGTAAGGGAACACCTGAAGATAGGGCGAAAAGTTTCGAATATCAGATAAAATCATGCAATGCGGGCTACCCGAAGGGCTGTGTCATGGCAGGCCTTCACTTGACAGCAGAAAAAGGATCCGGGGTTCCGCAAGACATTGAGAAAGGTATTTCGCTTTTAAAACGAGCGTGTGACATGGGCAGTCATGACGGTTGCCACCAAGCCTCTGGAATTTGCCTGACAGGAAGAGGAGTGGTAGCACAAAATATGAAGGAGGCCTTCGAACTTGCAGTCAAAGGTTGTGACCTCGGTAATATTTATAGCTGTCACAATGTGGCACTTATGTATGAAAGAGGAACAGGAGTCGAAAAAGACAAAGTAAAGGCTGAACAATATAGGAGCAAGGTTGTTGATTACAAGGAACAGTGTAAATCAAACTATACCCTAAAAATGGAAGAAGGCATCGATTAAACGTGAGCATCAAAGGAAATGATGTGAGAATAATGTAATGTTATACATGTATAACTGTAGTCAACAGATTGATTAAATAAATAAAAATCCAAGTGTAGTTATATTATTTTACTCACTGTGATATTGTTTGTTGGTGCAAGCACCTAGTCAATGAACAGTGGGTTACGAATATTACAACCAATTAGTTTATTAGCTAACAATTCAATAGCTTTTAATATACTACACACGATAAAAATTGATTGTTTCTTTTCTCATGTTTAAACCTAGGTTAACGTAAATAGAAAAATTGTTTACGCTTCTTCTGTTCACTCGCAATTGTCGATTACTAATAAATTATTGTTCGACAGAACTTCCATATTTCTAGAAAGAAACGTGATTCGAATTTGGATGCAGTCAGTTTAATTTGCATAGATTATTCACGGACACAGTCATTGAGAACGTTAACTTTAGCCAAAAGCCAATTGTTTTTGACATTTATCAGGAACAAATACTCAGCCCCCCCACTGACAGTGTCAATAATAATTGCTCATTAGCTTTGGCATTTCATCTCCTGCCATTGGACGTATACAAGCCGCTTTATATGAATCCGTGTGTAAGATTATTGGAAATCCTTTTATGGAGTAATTTCTAATAATTTGTCAATGAACGAAAATATATGTAATAGGCATATTGACGTTTATTGAAGGATTACATTGAATCTATGTAATTTCATGTATTTTACGTAATTCCATGAGTTTTTACTTCCGATAACTTTCCATTTGAAAACTGTAATGCACACAAAGGTCCGTATTAGGCAATTAGTGTCAAATTTAAATTACTACGTTACTAAGAAACTACGTTTCGTTTGCCTCTACTAACGGACATCAACTGATAGATATCGAGGTCGTATCGGTTGGTTAGTCTCTTTCCTTAAAATTAACTACCTTGGAAATGAAGAAACAACTTTTTTCAATAAACATCATTTTACTGTTGCTTTCTTGTGGGGCGTCTCTAAAAAGCTCTCGGTTTGAACACTCCGAAGATTCTCTGAATTTTCTGCTGAAGTCACGACAGGCAACTGTCTCGAAGTAGTTTGCGAGCCCCAAGTGGTGGCCTCTCTAGTGACGGACTGTTCTGTAGTGAGCGCTAGCTGATACGTCGTCGTTTCCACTTTGTTTGTTACGGTGCTTCGTGGGATATCACTGACGCTGACCCCGTACATATCGAGCTCCGTTCGGAGTATTAGCGACGTTACGACTAGCTCGTGCACATAGCCAATTATACAACTGCAGACACACTTCCACAGGTGCTGAAAGCAGGATGCGTATTGCTCTACCTTCACAAAATCGGCAACAACGATAACCACAACACGAGAGGTCAAATTGAGCTTTTTGAAATAAAAAAAGCTTAATGAACCGAGTTTTCCAACTGTATTTAACCTATATTATTTGTTACACTCGTAGTTGAATTGTTCGCAACCATTCCCAATTTATCTCGTTAATAACAGACTTCGTCCGATCAAGCGGGTGCGCCTGGAAGCTCGTCTAAAGCAGACTGCATCGAATAACAGATGAAACATGCGAACACCATCGATCAAAGATGAAACATTAGTGGATCCTTAAGGAGCCTATAATAAGTAATAACCAACCTTAATTTTTTTGAGATTGTCTCTTTATAATTTTACCAAATTGTTCTTTTATTTCAAATGAAAAATATTGATGTTTTTCTTAATAGCAACCCCGTTTTTTTTTCGAGAACAGGCTTTTCTTTTCTAAATCAACGACGTGAAAGTGGGACTCGACGCCTACACTAATCAGGTGTAATTTGTAATAATAACCAGACTCTGCTCTCTTTTTAAAATCTTGATAATCGTATTAAAAAATATTCTGTTAGTCTGAAGGTGTTAGAAAGGGCGCAAGTGTCCTAAAATGAAGGCCGCAATAGGCTTAAACAGTTTATGTACACTATTTTAAATAGACGCGTGGCCAACAGCACTAGTGGTAAAAAGCGCAGCTGCAGCAAGAACTAGTCTGCAGTGAGTATAGCAAACAAACCTGCCATTCATAGATGCTTATCATTCCATGGAACACCGTCATTACAAAATAGTATGACAGGGACCCAACATGGTAGACACGATCCCACCACGGCGCGTTTAACCCTGAAGGCTGCTGATGGCGTACACCGAAAACGGTTGACAATACAATAATGTGTAGCTGAAAACACAAGGCTACGAGGACATATCTTAAATCGTTAAACGTAATCTGACGAAGTGATTCTTTGGTCCGCTCTAACAGCTCAAACATGCCAAAGAGTGCGCAAACAATGTGCATGATCGTGTCAACAAAAATCAGATTCGAGAATACGCTCGTACGACGAAACCACCGCAAAATGTGCATTGCCTATCCCCGGCGGCGTTGCAGGATTAAGTGTGTCCGGGTTAAGGTAGGCCGTTGCAGGTCCAAGACCGGTGACTACCGCGCCTTTCATAAGTCACGTCCTCTTCGTCTCTGTATCGTCACCTTTCGCTGGTACTAAGATTGGCATTGTCTATGCATGTCCAGTAGAACACCTGCTGCTTGGACAGCTGCGTCGGGCGAATCATTGGCGGAACGATTGGCCCCGACATTTGTCCTATGTATTAATCGGAATATTGTCTTGGAACAAACGTCGTTGTCTCCAAGTAGAAAGAAAGATATTTCTGACAAACAGTCCGACCAATCCGGCGGATTATACAGCATCCGCGGTCGGCACAGTGGAATAAGTGTCGAAAGAGTTGCATAGAATTGGAGGGTACATATTCACGTATTCCAATTCTGACTCTATTGATAAAACGAAAAATAAATAGTAATAAAGTAATTCTTTAGTGCTGATAAATATGTAATTAAAAATATCGGTTCCCTCCATATATATATATATATATATATATATATATATATATATATATATATATATATCGTTGAAGCTCGGCTAGCTTCGGTGAATGTCATTACACAGTTTACTCATAATTTACTACGGTTAGCACAGGGCTATGGGGAACTGGAATGTAACAGCGCTCGAGCGTATGGGTGTACAGAGGTTTTAATTGTTACACGAAAAATTAGATTACATTTGGGCAAATATGCTGAAACACTCGTTCATAACGTAATGATTGCCAATTCTACGCCAAAATCTAATGTTATCGATGTTAAACTATTTGTTAAATATAAAATTCTACCCCAACATACATCTTTGAAGAGATAAAAAAATGAACGAAGCGCAAATTTTGTTGATAATAAGCTGCATCTTCTGTACTTCCATACCCACACTATACTGACATTGTCTTTGTAACTTGCGAGATATCTAAATTATTTCACGTGGATTCAAACTAAAAAAACGGAATGCTTAGAAAATTACGATTTTCTGAGTGTATTGACTTTGTCGATTCCTGTCCGGCCGCTTAAGAAGTATTGCATGACGATTATTTGCAATATATCTTGTATACACAATACAGGTACGAATAAGATGTTCTAATCATTTGACATGTAAATGGAATCTAGAAAATATCTGTTGACTGTTATCTATGTTTAATAGACCAGATTCCGGCGCTACTTACAAAAATTTTGCCACTGCTCTATTTCACCAAGTTAATAAGAGCTCTTTGAGGCTTAGGATGATGTACAAAATTGCACCTTGGTTTCAGGTAGTCTCGTTGGTCGTTTTGATATGCCAATTGGCGACTACAAGGGCGACCATGGTTTGAGTCCTTTTCTACCTGCCTTCTCCGGAGTCCCTCGAAAAAGTTATATAGCGCCCCCTGTTAAACGTTGCGTTTGTTATTGATACAAATGCATTCCACCTGAAGTCGGAGACTAAGAATATAGCAATATTTTGAAAATCTATTGCACTCTAAATTATGACACACTTCAAGGTGCAGCCTTATTTGTATTGTATTTCGAACACGCACCGTTCGGATGAAAAATGAGGCATGCCCAAAGATGGTACTTTTAATCTTGAATATAGAAGTGACATATTTCTTCCTTTTTTATTTACAACCAGAAATGACTTGCAACTAGAAATACAAAGAGAATTTCGTTGTAACGAATCGTGATCTATTATCGCTTATACAAAGTCATTGTTCTATCCAAATCTTAACACTGCTCGACGATAGGGAAACGGTATATTGGGAAATACACGTCCTTGTCAGAAGATGTGCGAAGTCAACTCCCAAAAAGATTATGTTGGTACCCAATTGATTACTCTTCCTTTCAATTGTACAAGCTAAATCTTTAGCAGCAGAGATTAATTTATGTTTAGATCTAATCGTCTTTGTCGTAAATCTTTCCTAAATATTTTCCTCGTATGAAATAATTAATAAGAACGACGCGTTAAAGATGTGCACCTGGACTCATGAGCATTCCTGATTTATTGTATGGCACAGAGGTGCTCATTTCTTGAAAAAGACTCCCCACCTTCGTGTAAATATAGATTTTCTTAACTAAAGTCAAAATTCTGAATGTCTGTTATTAAATTCATTTTGTATTTCAAGTACTAGCCGCGCTTATGTATAGAGTTCCGTACAACACATGTTCGTTCACGAAGATGACCGGACGCTTTATAACTAGTGTCTCATCCATGAAAATTACCCAGAATTTTCTACTAATTATAAGATTAATTTATGAGTTTGTTTTAGATTGTATTAGACAATATAATTGTCGATATTTCTTTTAAAGAAAAATGCTTTAGTATAATATTCAATAATATGAGTCTAAAAGCAACTGTAACACTACATTGAGTTTTCCATGTTATTAGCTGAACAAAAACTAAACTTCTGTATTTACGTTATCTTGTTCTAGAGGCTAAACTGACACCTGCTCGTTCTGTTTGATTTATACGCAACCAAAGCATTTCGTTATAAATCTACGATTCCATTGAGCTTATTTAGTATGATTATTATAAAACTATGTCGTTTTTTATTCTTTAATGCATGACACTTCTATCACGTATGACTCGACAGGAAACTTATGCCGTTGATCACTTGTCCGTCTAGTCCTAGTGACAATGCAACATGAAAAATCAGCTTAAAATGTTCACATCAACGAATCGTCGTCGAAATGTGAGCGGTCTGCTGATCCGCTCAATCTCGTGATTAAATAGAATACCAACCAACAACAGCACAATTGAGCTATGAACCTCTATGCGTGTGTCACTCTGTATGTATTGCGGAAAAGTTCGGAGATAAAGCGAAGATCTATTGCCTAGTACTCAACTCCGCTTCTGAGAAAGCAACCTCTCTCCAGTGTTTTCCTCCGTATAACTGCTCGGCTGCGATAGCCTCCGCGTGCACTGAAGGGTCTACAGAGAAAAAACATTAAGCACGACTGTTACTATTATTGCCATAATACTGAAACGGAGTGGCTGTCGCCACTTGACGTATGTAGTAACGAAATTTCGGTACTCACTTAAATTCCTTCTATATATACATATATATATATATATATATATATATATATATATATATATATATATATATAGAAAGATTTACTAACATGAACCGGCGCTTTCCCAGACATGCAATAATATTTTATCTTCAGCGTAGGTTATTGCGACTATGAAATTTGGTTGATAAGCATATGGTAATCGAATGCGAACGCTTGCCTTTTCTCCATTGACGCTCATATATTGATCTTAAATTCTGGTTGGAATGCCGCAGCGGGCCACACGTCCCTGTCAATCCCCGTTGTCCTTCATGTCAAGAAATATCGTATACTTAAAAGGCACTTAAATAGAGATTTGAAAGTTCAAAAGTTCTAGTTCAATGCTTATGCTTATCTCAGTTCCCTCTATCAGACCCATGACTTACGCACTTTGTTAGGTTGGTATGCTGTTCTATAAACAATGACTTTCAAAAACAGTCTACCGCGTTACAAATTCCCTTTACAATTACACTTTATGCGCCACAAAATATATTTGGGCGTAGCGTGTATCTATGATTCAAAATGTCATTTCCATATTAGAATTAGCTAAAAACAACCGCTCCGTGCCAGATAAAGTCAACGATAATGAGTTTAATTAATATAGTTAGGTTTTGCTATTAATCTTAATGGAGCGTTTTTCAGCAGACCAGTATTTAATAGTGAAAGTGAATAGTGAATGATCCGTATTTGCATTAAGACTCCAGCCTCTCTTGGATGTCTGAACTTACGAGATGTGACTCCGACTGAAGCGTCTTACACGATACGACATAAGTGAGTTCACTCCAACAAGCACGATACCAACCGACAATTTTTTTGTATTTGACAAACTACTTACATCCTTATTAAGATTACATCCTACGAATATGTGCTTCCTATTCAAAATATTGAATCAAGTATTACGATCACAAACATCACATAAAAAACAAAAACATATTCACACGGGAAAATGTATCGTGAGGGAGTCATTGATGAGTACATTACCATAATCAAGGCAGAATTCAGGCGGGAAGACCACGTGCTCTTCTGCAAGGATGGCATCCGCGGACTGGACTGTGCCAATGATCTCAACCAGCTGCAAAATATATGCATATAAATTAGGTTAATACATAACTAGTGGAAATGATCTCTGGAATATTAAACCTAAAAGTCAGTTTCCGTACCACTGTTAGTATTCCTACTATTGCTACAGGCTTTTTGACAAACACACATTGTAAAAAGGACCTCTATATCGTTGAAATATATAGTCATAGACGTAGCACGATATCTGGTATATATTCGAAATTCGAAACTTAGTAATATATGATACAAGCAATTCGAAATTGCGGTAAAGTAGATGTACCTTATAACTACATTTAGATGCTTGTAAATGTAGCTAACAGTTTCTCAAGTGCTTGTCGATCTTTTGCTCGTAAGATTCTACAACGTACCTGATTGAGAAGCCGATCAGGTTTGTTCGGACACATAACTGTGACTGTCATACCGCAAGCTGATTCGAGTTTGCACACAGATCCATCCTCCTGCAAAAAATTCATGGTAAACAACGAAAGAACACAAATATATATATATATATATATATATATATATATATATATATATATATAGAGAGAGAGAGAGAGAGAGAGAGAGAGAGAGAGAGAACACTAATATAAGATTTCATTTTATCGTTATTTTTTAATGATGCATCTAACGTTTACTGTTCCTGACATCAATTCTGGTGATAAATGCGGGTAATTTAGGCTTTTCATTTCGAGATACCTGTTAGCTGACGTTGGCGTCTTTTAACTGTTAGGACTTTTCAGTTAAAGTTTCGCATTATTATCATAAAGCCACCTAGATCCGATTCGGTGAATTGGTTTGTAGCTGTAAGCAAACCCCAACGCGCTCAGGAAAATAACTGAGAAATTTAAGTGCGAATGCAAAGTAGATTTGCTATGTAGCGACAGCGCTTAATGTATTAATATGCAGCTCACCGCCTTACAAAATGCTTGGACAATAAAAATGCATACAACAAACATGTATTTCTCATTTAGAAGCGTTGTCGTTAATATTCTTGTTTTATTTCCCATACATGGAATATATTATATGGCCGAACCTAATAAATAAAATAAAGTATGATGTTTTCGCTTGCCGCGTGGGAACCAACTAGCGTTTCGAGACTCAAGCGGAACAGCACGATTAACAAAACTTTCTTTTTTAATAATTAACATATGGTTATATATTTTTCATCGTCGTTTCTTCAATGCAAGCCACAATCCGCATTTAGCCTTGCAAAAAAAACTCGATATGCTAAATTATAATAGGAAAAGTCTCAGGAATAAATTGATCCTCTTCTTAATAAACAATAAAGGCCAAAAAAATCATCGCACCTGTATCACTTTTCCAATAATTGACACTCTCTTCTTAAGATGGTCTTTGAAGTATTTGCCAGTGAGACGCATTTTGCAAATGGGCTTCGCACTTTTTGAGTAAACGGACTAGATCAAGATTGTAAATTACTACACTTTTTACTTGACCGGCTGATTAGTGTGGCAGCGTTTTGGCGCAAAAATTTGATCGGTTGTCGGCTAGCGCCACAAAGGTAGCGCGCAAATTTGAAATACATAACAATATCCGCCAGATCCTGGCAGTCTTTGACTTCCTGCGCGATCGCCTAAAAAAAGCTTACTTTTCACAGCTAAATATTTGGTATCAATACTAAATCCATGATTAGACGGTGAAATGTGTGATAGGCGCTGCTTTAACATTTATTTTAACATTTGTGCTATATTAACTAATAAAATGGTGATCCACTAAAAAGAAGCAAGCTTTCAACATAGAAAAGTAGTAATAGATAATAAAACCGAGGAGTTATTTTACAATTCAAATTTACTTCTTGTTTCAATGTATAGTATAGCAGTTCGACGAACACATACAATTCAATATGAATGCTCATTTAGTCAAATAATTTGATAGAGAGATCAACCGAATTTTTTTGCATACAGTAGTTTAATTGTATTATGGGGTACAACGACGTATTGCCTCGAAATGTAATGGAATACATCTTTTTGCAACATTATCATGAGCATGAACATACTTGGGTAAATAAAGAGGCCACGCTTATAACGCAGAGAGTTGATAACAACAAAACTCAGATACAGTTTCAAATAAGAAACCGGGCGCTTGGTTCTAGAATACCGAACTATAGGGTTTACTTCGATCAAATTAAGCCTACTGCATAGCTAGTAAAGTCGATATTGGGGCAATTCTAATACAGAAGACATAATGCACGGGGTGATATTATGCAAGCGGAGATGTTCTTATTCATGTGTACGGCAGGCCCTATACCAAAAAAATATAGATTTACAATTTAGGTTGTCGCCACCTCTGATGACCGAAATGAAAAGGCATTTTTCGGGTTGTTTTTTTCAACTGTGTTGAAGTTATTCCGCCCACAGTGTCATACACCGCAGTGGACTTTGAAACTATAATATGCGATACAAAATCAGACCTTTGAACAGTTAAAATTAGTTTTACCTTAAACGTCTCTGGCTTCGGTCAAACACATTCGACATCTGTCATATTATGCATAGTATGTATGGATTAGAATTCGAATAATCTTGCGTTTAAACCAGTTTTCTTATCTAAACAACTGTGGTTGGATGTGGTTGTAAAATATTTACAAACTTTACATTATATATATATATATATATCTCGATTAGATACACTTAATAGACCTTTGACTTTTAGAACAATGCGACGCTCTCAACTATGAGGCCTTTCCTAGGCGAAAATCCCACGTTATGTCGAAGCGCTACGCTGGTAAAACCACAATTTAAGAAGAGAGTTTCAAAAAAAGGTATAAACTTGATATCCTCAATGCAACAGGTATGTCTGAGTACTGTGGTTGTTATAAAGTCGTAGTTCTTATGTGGCTTCAGTTTGTGAGTGGTCTAGTTACTTCTAGATCGCAAAAGTAGAAGCGCTATTTGCAGAGGCTGTGTATTTGAAACTGAGCTCTTTGCATGACACCCGAGATTGGTACATAAAGGCTCCGAGCTTCCTGTCCGTTGATGTATCCTCGGATACATATACTAAAATTGGAACGATACAGAGAAGATTAGCATGGCCCCTGCGCAAGGATGACACGCAAAATCGTGAAGCGTTCCACATTTTATTACCGTAGAATTTTCACGGTAGTTGGTTTTATTATATTTAAAATAAGTGGTTCAAGATCACATTTTTACGATTCTATAATGTGAATTGTTTTAGGTTCTTGATATTTATTTTCATGTAAGTATATAATATGTATGTACGTGTAGGTAAATGCAAAAAGATGTCCTTGATTCTAAATACACACACATACATTTTGGCTAGATATGCGACTGTTGCGACTGAGGATCTGACAGTAGGCCGTGTCTTCGTTTTAGACTACAGGTTTGCGGCTCTTTTACGGGCTATTTCGTCGGCTTACGTAAGATTCATCATGTCAGGTACTCTTCACAGTAATAATATTCAAGATATCTACACGTTTTTAGTAAGCGTCTCATTTTATTTTTATTAATCTATTCTATATTTATATAAGACCATTATGTATCAAAGAGAGATAACTAAAAATTCAACTGATTTCAGTGAGTTCCGAAAATTTCAAGTCATATGGCTTAAAATGTGACGGTATATGTCTCACAGCAAACAGTTTATTTAACTACAGCTCTATCTGGCTCAATTAAAGCTGCGCCAGACAACAGTTAATGAGTTCTCTTTATTGTGGATGTATGGCTTTTGATCTTGTGCCGAGCCCACAGTTCCGATGTCAATGAATCTATTGTTTTTCCATTCCGAAAAAGAACCAGAAATGCTTTAGGCTGCAGTGTAAACGGGGCGGTTTTCTCACAGTTTTTTCAAGCAGTTTTGGTTAAAGAGTACGTCACTTATAAAGATATTTTGACCCCTTAAACCTACTTTTAATGCTAGGGCATCTCTGGTGTCTGTGGGGCACCAGGAACACAATGGTGGTAAAACTAAAAGTATCAATTGCAGTTACAACAAAGTAATAAGGTCTTGGGAGAGATTCAGACTGACGAGCGGTATGTTTATCAACAACTTCTACCTCTATTTAAGCCTGCAGTTTATCATAAGACGTGCTGAAGTTTACGCTGGCCTGTAGCTAATCGCCAGTATCCCCATCGTGTCTCTGTATGCAGTATGTTGGAGCGTACGGCAGTTTCTACTGATTGCATTTTCCAACTCTTTTTATTTGATTGTTTTGGGTCTCACCCGGGACTTAATTTGGCTTCCAGCTTAATGAGAGCTTTTTCGGAGCGCGACCTTCGTTTCATAAATTAGATTCTTGTGATCGCTAGAGTTCTTCAACTTATCTGTGACATGCTATCGCGCAACGCCTTTAACCAACTAATCCATACAAACCATCGGGATTATGCAGGCCTGCTAACCTGTTTTATACAAGGTAAACTTATGTCTGTCGAGAAGTAACTAGAACTGTATTCTAGGCGACTACTTAGGAAGAAGCAGCCCCCTAGAACAGATGCATCTGCATGCCCAGTTAACGGCAGCTGCGTCGAAACACTTTAAGTAAGATTTGGAAGATATGCAGAAATTATACACTCGTATACCCGCCATTGTAATCTGAACTAACCTGCTGCCCTCAAGAGTAGACTCTAAGCCTACGAACGCATCCGAAAAATGGGTCTGTGATTTATGCAGCATCATTCGGATATCAACAATAATGCTTGAAACCGAATCAAAATTACTTAGTTTAATCACTTTAATGCCAAGTAAACGCGGTCTTCATTAAACAGGAATATAGGGAAAAAGCTTCGTTACTTGTACCTGTCCAAGGTAATTCGTATTTACGTCGCCGTCCAATCGATGGTCATTAAAAATTGTTAGGCGCAGTGAACTTCATTGAAACAACTGCTTCGTCATGATTCTTTGTTGTCACAATGCAGTTTTTCACAATAAGCATTTAGAAGCCGTTTATACACCGACTGGTGATGCAATTCGTGATCCTCTGTGCCAGTTTACGGTGGTTTCTATACAGACTCGCATTTATTTGGCTTCATTGTATTGGCCTTTGGGATGAGGTCATAGCTCTTCTAGCAGACTATTAAAACTATGGATCTCTCCTCATTGATGTATGTAAGGAAATCAGTTGCTACTATTAGCTCAGAGGTTCTTCACGTTGGCCAAGAAGAGAAAAACAACGTTCCTTTACGGCCGTATAACAAATAAGGGTTTAAAAAGTGCATCGTTCCACGATAATTAAAAACAAAAAAAAATCCTTTTGTGAATGCCGGTACGCCCGTAATTGGCACTGCAGTATGTGTTACCAACTTTCAGTCTATCATGAGTATTGCGAGTATTGAAAAAAGCGTATTTATAATTTAAAGTCACGGCGAGTAGTTACTTTGTAGATACGAAATGACTAATCGCTGAGACTTGGGTGGCGGCCGAAACTAAATTCTGATCGGGTGTCCAACCCGCTTCGAAAGTGACAGATACACGAAAGAATGCACTGAAATATATGTTTGCTCTTCCCCGGAAATGCCATAATGTGCTGTAATAGAATTACTTACATGAATATCAGATTGCTTATTTAAATCATAGTTAGCACTGATTAGCAAAAAGTGATCAATTACTGTAAAGCTATATACGCCTACAGCATTCTAGGTGGAGCTCAATACCGCTGCCTTTCTACGTACATTTCGAGATAATATCTAATCTAGAAATCGTTTAGCAATTAAATGTGAATCACATAGGCCTCCTATTATCTCACAAAGGTTCGAATGATCAAGTGTCATTATATTTAAGGGGGCGAAAAAAGATTACGACTTCTGTTGGAAAGTACAACATATCGACGGACTGGTAAAGCACCTCATTTAAGTTCCTCTTCCAATAGGGGTATCTTTGCTATCAATTGTCGCAACTAACCTTGAAGTACCGAATACCGGCTCCCTCTTGTCGGTTTCACTACTTTACCGGATTTTTGTGTTCTTGATTGAGACCATTGGTTTCGCCAGCTTTTGGTCAACACCAAGGTGGACCCTGCTTCAATTTATGCCATAGAATTTATGCCAACCGACATATTTATACGACAATTTCATATCAATTTCCTATAGGATCGATGAATTTTCGTTTGCCAGTGTAATGGAAAGGTATGCTTGAGCGCCTTTTTGGACATCAGTGTGTCACATCATCTGACCTGATTACGTGGATGCACAAACCGAACGAACGTGCCCGGTATCTTTGTGTGTCTGGGATGAACTCCTAAATGGGCTTATGTAGACTTGATTTCTTTTAATCTGTGGACATTCGGTCATGTCAAACTTGGCTTACTTTCGGCAAAGGTTTTATAGGTATAACTTAACGAAGCAAAGCTTGAATAGTTGAATCTTCGACTATTTATATAGATGGACCCTCAAGCTGCCAAAGTCTTCAGCCAAAATGTTCTGTAATTTCTTACCGAAATGTAATACTGATACGAGGAGAAGATTGTTCTACAAATTTCTCTAGCTGGTTATAGTAATTTAACCAAG